TTTCCACACACGATGCATTTATAAGGCTTCTCTTTTGTGTGAATTACTTTTTGAGATGTACGGAAGTTATTTCCAAGACAAAGAATGAATGTCCCATTGTAATTTTCTCTGTTGTATGTTCTTATAGCATCTTCTCCTTTGTTTTGGGTTAAATAGTGTTCGTTTACACGTAATTTAGCTTTAATTAGCTTCACACTTTTCCCAATATATTTTTTCCTTATTTTCTCTTGTTGGGCAAGAAAGTCATACATCGGAGCATCAATGGAAGATGAGCTTTCCTGATTCCAATTGTTTGGCTGGTTTCTTTCATGGCTTTCTAATTCCATTTGAATTCCAAAGTTCTCCGTTCCATCTTGAGCATTGATCGCTTGGAACAGTTCACAGGAATCTTGATTCTCCTGCCCGTTATTACCTTCAAAGGAAAAGAGAAATGAAAATGATAAGAAGGTTAAAGAAAAAGATCAAACTGTAGAAAGTCAATGAATTATCTTCTGAATTTTTCTGAAATTCCATTATGTTGTATTTTGCATGATTACAGTGCTGTGATACGGATATTATTTTTATATTCATGAGTCATGAAAGCTTTGAAAATGTCTAGAAAATATCTCTTTCCTTCCAATTATCTCTATATATGTAAATCTCACTCAAAGTCAGTTTTGAGTTAAGGAAACATCTGAAGAGGAATTAGGAAAAAACCTAGGATTTATTGGGGTGGGTTAAGGATAAAAGTCTCACTTTCAAGGGCTCTTCTCAGTTTGCAGAGAAGAGACCCCTAAACTACGATCATGTGAGATCAGTAGTGCAATATCTCATGCTAGTACTTTAGGACTGTGTTCTCTTTGAACTGAGGACTGCATGAGATCCGGGCAAAAGTGTTTGAAACCAAAGAGGTCTTTCCTGTTTGCAAAGCCTAGTGCCCTGGATCTCGTGCAGGCCTCAGTCAGCAGAGGCCTAAAGTATATAGTGCGAGATTATACAGTATGGGTAGTACGAGATTTCACTGTACTGATCTTGCATGATCTCTCACTACTTTAGGCCTGTTTTCTGCAAATGCACCAAAGCAGGCAAAGGAACTTATTGCTTGCTACATTGACGCAAGTTTAGTCTCAGCAGGGTAGGGTGTTTATAGGTCAAATGCAATTAGACAATATGAATTTGTCTTCAGTGCATAAGCTCTCAGTGTACATAAAAGCTATGTGAGAAATCATGATCATCATCATCATAAAAATACATTCACCATAAATCATAGGATACAACGCTTAGTGATAGTCATAGGATACTAAATAACCAATCAACATAAATCGTGCTAGGAAACTAAATAAAACAATGTAAATCGTAAAGATACACGCAATAAAATTATAGTCGTAAGGCCAGATCCTTTCCTTCTCCCTTCCAGGAGACAATATCTGATTAGTGATTTTTAAATAAAAAAACTAACTATAATCTTTCTNTCTTCTGAATTTTTCTGAAATTCCATTATGTTGTATTTTGCATGATTACAGTGTTGTGATATGGACATGATTTCTGTATTCATGAGTCACGAAAGCTTTGAAAATATCTAGAAAATATCTCTTTCCTTCCAATTATCTCTATATATGCAAATCTCACTCAAAGTCAGTTTAAAGTTAAAGAATAATCAGGGGAAACATCTGAAGAGGAATTAGGAGAAAACCTAAGATTTATTGGGGTGAGTTAAGAAAATTTCACTGCCCAAAGTCTCACCGGCTTTCAAGGGCTCTTCTCAGTTTGCAGAGAACAGACCCCTAAACTACTTTAGTGCGAGATCACCTAAGATCAGTAGTGCAATATCTCATGCTAGTACTTTAGGACTGTGTTCTCTACAAACTGAGGACTGCATGAGATCCGGGCAAAAGTGTTTGAAACGAAAGAAGTCTTTCCTCTGTTTGCAAAGCCTATTGCCTTGGATCTTGTACAGGCCTCAGTTAGCAGAGGCCTAAAGTATATAGTGCGAGATCATACAGTATGGGTAGTGCGAGATTTCACGGTACTGATCTTGCATGATCTCTCACTACTTTAGGCCTGTTTTCTGCAAATGCACCAAATGTCTCGCTACATTGACGCAAGTTTAGTCGCAGCGTGGTGGGATGTTTATAGGCCAAGTGCGATTAGACAATATGAATTTGTCTTCAGTGCATAAGCTCTCACTGTACATAAAAGCTATAAGTGATGAATCATGATCATTATCATCATAAAAATATATTCACAGGATACAACATTTAGTGATAGTCATAGGATACTAAATAACCAATCAACATCCATTGTGCTAGGAAACTGGGTCTAAAGTACTTGGGGGGGAGAGATCCTAACTAATAGGCGCTAAGTGAACAGCCGTAACTCAGGAATTACCTATACCCAATGATGCTCTGAATCACACAGCATGACCTCTTTATTTTTGAAATGGTTTGGTTGAATCGTCTTCAATGGCTGTATAATGAAAGTTCTGTACTCACAGAATTTTTGGAGGTTTCAGAGGAAGAATAATGGTTAGGATAGGAAAAGAACAGGGTAGGATAGTGAAAGAAGAATAGACAAGACTTGACTGAACTGGACTAGAATAGCTTACAAAATAAATCATGCTAGGAAACTAAATAAAACAATATAAATCATAAAAATTATAGTCCCAAGTAGAAAAAGAGATAGGTAATAGTATAGATGAGAAGAAAAATAGTAATACTGTCTTACTAAATTGTTTGCCAGTGTTGTGAGAATTAGTTATTTAGCAGAGTGATAGCATGGGGGGGAAACTGTCCTTGTGTATAGTTGTTCTGGTGTGCAATGTCCTACAGTATCATGATAGCACTTCTATCACGAGGGTAGAGGTTAAAATAATGTAAGTCCAGGATTGTGAGGGGTCTGTAGATATTTTCACAGCCCTCTTTCTGGTTCATTTAGTATACAGGTCCTCAATGGAAGGCAGGTTGGTAACAATTGTTTTTTTCTCCAATTCGATTTATGAAAAATAAGGGGAAACATCGAAAGAGGAATTAGGAGAAAACCTAAGATTTATTGGGGTGGGTTAAGGATATTTCACTGCCCAAAATCTCATTGGCTTTCAAGGACTCTTCTCAGTTCACAGAGATCAGACCCCTAAACTACTTTAGTGCGAGATCACGTGAGATCAGTAGTGCAATATCTCATGCTAGTACTTTAGGACTGTGTTCTCTATGAACTGAGGACTGAATGAGATCTGGGCAAAAGTGTTTGAAACCAAAGAGGTCTTTCCTCTGTTTGCAAAGCCTATTGCCCTGGATCTCGTGCAGGTTTCAGTTAGCAGAGGCCTAAAGTATATAGTGCGAGATCATACAGTATCAGTAGTGCAAGATTTCACGCTACTGATCTTGCATGATCTCTCATTAGGTGCTCTAAGTCTTCCAGCTTCTTCTCTATCCTCTCATATGTATTTGATAATTTCTGTATTTCTGAAAATATCTTTTG